GGTAAATATGCAGAATAGGTCACACCTTAATAAATAGATTTTGATATCAATCAATGAATAAAATTTTTATAATGAATAAGATTTTGATATTTTATGCATTTATTAAAAAATGTAATAGACTAAATAATTCAATACATTTTATTCTTGACAAACCGTCATATGAACAAAACGAACTTAACGATGAAACCGATGCAATCATGAAAGGATTAAAATATTATACACACTACATTTTTTAAATTTAACCGATAAATTATTAATAAACTAACAGATATATTTTATAGTGGCATCCCAAGCAGCATATCACGATTCGTATAGATTTTATTATGTTTCTTTAATAAATCTAATATTTTGTAAACGTTTAGACAACGTATACAAAGCCAACTTGTTCTTGGGATATTGCGACTGTCTTTTTTATAACAGATTATGTAAAGTTATGTATAAAGTAAGATAATTTTCACGTAACTCTAACATTTTTATTGTACGTTGATACTTTTTGTATGAATATTATAAAATTTTATTAAAAAATATATTTCCAAATAAAATTGTACACTTTATTTGATAAATGAAAATTCTGATATAACTAATCATTTTAAGTAAGAAACATTTTGCAAATTTTATGCAAGTTACTTCCTGAAGACCTGACGCAACGATACAAATATCAATATAATAAATAGATTGCATGAATTAATTCACTCACCAATAGCTGCTACCGCTTTTCCGGTTGATTCTGAAAATATAATAAACAACATTATTCATAGATATAATTATTATTTATTAAGCTACTACTTTAATTGGAGATTGCTAAAATATTTTTATATATAATACAATAGATTTATTTTATGTTCCATTAATTTTCAAACGTTTCAAATATTTCAACTCAATTTTCTTTATTTAAAATAAATCGGAAAAAATTATTACGATAGCAAACAAATAAGCACATTTAATATGAGAATATTTCACATAATCACGAATAATTCCATATAATTACAGTCGTGTATTATTCCTTTCACATATAAATATTATACGTTAAATCTTACCAACTACAGTAGAGGAAATCTTTTTATCTTTAAACTGCAAAAATACGAACGCGAGGGTACGCAAACAGGCAACTAATTAAACAATACACTTACCGAACTCCTGGGTCGACGCCGTCTTTTCGCCAGGAAGAATCGCGCTGTCCTCTCATCTCCTCGCCCGTGTTGATAACAATCGCCCAAGACTTCTTAAAAAATAGATTTCCAACTGAAATTGAATACGTTATTTGAAAAATTATAATTAAAATTATAAGCTATTACTTTAATTGGAGATTGATAAAATATTTTTACACGCAATAGATTTATTTTATATCTTTTTCATTTTTAAACGTAATATTTCAACTAAAGTTTCTTTATTTAAGAGGGTCCTTCAACCATATTTTTTACCGACAAAGTCAAATATAGCTTGTGCGTTTAAAATTCTTTTTATTAGCTTCTATGCACAAAATACCAGGATAAGTTGCGGACCGCATAGTAGAACATCTTTATACTTAAAACGCTCGGTTCAGAAGTTCTAATAAAAAAGATATTAGTATTTGAAACTTTCAATTCGTAGTTCTAACTCAATTTGAAATTGGCTTTATAAAATTGCAAAATTCCTCCACACGATTAAAGTACGCTCAAGACAAAACCAGGGACTTTCTATAAAAAAAGGGAAAGTAAAAATATCACTTTATAAGGTTCCCCAATCAGTTATAAAGTGAGTTTTAATTTCTATTCGTTTTTTTATATGAATTTTATATGAAATATAAAGTTGACTGTCCCTGGTTTTGTCTACATGCGTACTTTAATCGTGTAAAATAATTTTGCAATTTTATAAAGTCAATTTCAAATTTAGTTACAATTGGAACTTTCAAATACCAATATCTTTTTTATTAGACTTCTGAACCAAGTGTTTCAAGTACGAAAATGTTCTGCTATCCGCACGGAAAAAAACACTTAGCTGCTGTAGCTAAAACTTAGCAAAATAGGGACAGCTAGTATTTTAGTTGTGATAGCTCAATATTTTGCTACGACAGCAAAATGTTTGTCCCTATTTTGCTAAGTTTTAGCTACAGCAGCTAAGTGTTTTTTTCCGTGCGGTCCGCAACTTATCCTGGCATTATTTTGTGCATAAAAGCTAACGAAAAGAATTACAAGCGCAAAAACTACATTTGACTGTGTCGGTAAAAAGAGACGGCTGAAGGATTCTCGGGAAAATTAGTACGACGCCAAATCGACGCCGTTTTTTCGCCAAGAAGACTCCAGCAGTCATTTCATATCCCCGCCCGTGTTGATAACAATCGCCCGATATTTTATTCAATATTCCCGGCGTTGCGCGGATAAAATAGTATCGCGAATGCGAGTGAGCACGAAAGTTTCATACGTCGCCAAGCAAAAGGTACCGCGAGGTGTCTAGTATTTCACGAATGCGATCGTTTCTACGCACCACATCACTCACGCGTTAAAGCCGCTCGTCCGCGGCGATTCGTCACCCTCGATATCGTTTCCACGCGAAACTCACGCTTGGAAAACGCCGAAAGCACGGAGCGTCCGATCCGCGTCGAAGTACCAACCGTTATGGCGCCGCAAGGGTAGCGGGGAGTGGCGCGACATCACATGACGTCACGCTTCGTACCGAGAGCGCGGCAATGGACATTTGACGGTCGCGAGAGCACGAAAAGCGTATGTAGCAAACGCGACGATGGTTCGAATAATACGCTAATACGCGACGTGAACTATAGATTCCTCAGTATTGGCGGTAAATCGCGAAACGCAGCGCGTATCGTGCAGGAAAAGTAACGCGGAACGCGCGCGCGAGCTTCGGTCTTTCGCGACGCAACTGGTACGTGAAGTCACGCCTCGCAAACGATTATTTCCACACCACGCAGTTACTCACGCGTTAACACGGCTCGTCCGCGAGGATTCGTCACCCTCGATATCGTCTCGACGCGAAAGTCGTGCCTGGAAAACGCCGAAAGCACGGGGCGTCCGACCGGCAGCGAGGAAACGGCGAGATGACGCCGCAAGGGTAGCCGGGAGTGGCGCGACGAGCGGGCGCGTGACGTCACGTGACGTGACGCTTCGTAGCGACGGCGGCAACGGGCATTTGACGATCGCGAAAGTACGGACGCAAGCACACGCAGGAAACGCGACGATGGTTCGAATAATACGCTAACGCACGACGTGGACTATAGATTCCTCAGTATTGGCAGTAAATCGGGAAACGCAGCGCGTATCCTGCAGGATCCTGCAGGAAGAGTAACGCGGAACTGCGCGCGCGAGCTTGGTCCGTCACGACGCAACTGGTACGTAAAATCGCGCTCTGTACCTCGCAAACGTGATTATTTCTACACCACGCAGTTATTCACGCGTTAACACAGCTCGTCCGGGTCGACTCGCCACCCTCGATATCGCATCGACGCGAAAATCGCGTCTGGAAAAGCGCCGAGAGCACGGAGGGCACGGAGCGTCCGGCCGGTAACGAAGAAACAGCCAGACTGGCAACGCTGCGGCTCGAACCGCTTGCCGCGCGGCGGAAATTGGCTAGGGAATACTGCGATAACCAATCAACGTCTTGCTTACCCGGAAGAAATAGATACATAACTTCCGCCCAGTGATCCCAGATTGCGGGATTTCTGGCGCACGCGCAGTAGTTAAATGACTTAATACCAAACTTGTTATAGTACTTTTTGTCCTCCAAATTCATTAATTTATGTCAAATGCAATTTTTTAAAGTACTTTAAAGTATCATATTAATTATTAAACATGGTATCTAATTTCTTATTGACCAATCAAGTTATGTAATCGTCTCTCACTTTTCGACGTGTGACTGCATCTCTCGCTATCGGATAGTAGGAGATATAAATAACCAATTTTGCATGTTTGCATAATTTGGCTTATCCGTTTATCACGCGTTCATTCGCTTTGATGATTTTGTTTATTATTCAATAACTCATACGAATTTTGCAAATGGTACACTTTCCTTTCCGGTGATTTTGATCCAATCTATTATCACTTTGCGGTTGGCCAATAAGAAATTATGTACCCTGTATACACCTATGTTATACGAATTATGTATATATAAAATATATTAAGGATTAATATACTTTAATTTTTCTTATATCATAATTTGTCGAAAATAATTTTGTTAAGAAACAAAATTATATGCAGAGAAAATAACATCACAAGAAATTAGGTATTATTAATTTATTTAAATTGTGTGACTCAATCTGTATTTATATTTTGACATGTGCTAACAATCGTACATTTATTACGTAATATCAAGGCAAAATGCAATTAGGCAAAAAGAAAAAAACTCAACCTAGGTAAATCATAATAGCAGTGTAAGCAAATCACGAAAATCAGTTTAATATTTTGTGAACAAAAATGAAATTTAAAAAATATGTATATATTTTGACTCGATCATGTTAAACAAGCTATTTATTTTAACCAATTGCCAGTAAATTTGGCTTGTCATCCTCAGGATACGCCAGGTCGTATAATGCCAATAGTGCTGCTTTAGCTGCCGCTTTCTTGGCATCTTTCTTGTTTTTAGCTGAAAGATAAAAATTATTGTTTATATTAATAATAGCGAAAATCTTTCATAATAATCCGTAGAACATGTATACATACCTGTTCCTGAATATTCGACCCCACCAACGTCAACAGCCAGAGTGAACATTGTATTCGGTGGGTTACCAACACGGTTGAGCTCTACGTACTTGTATGTTAACCCAGGCCTCATTTGATTCAGCAACATAACTGGATGTATATTCGTAGGATTAGGTGGAAGTTCCTTTTGAGCGGGAAGTTTAACACCAGTAGGACTCTCTTTCTTGATTCCTTTTGTAGTTGGTAAACCAGGTCGCAGGACTGGAACTGATGTTCTCTGATTATGCCATTTAAGAAAAAGTTTGTAAAGTACAAAACTGAACTGAGCCAATGAACTCCATGATATCTTATCTTCAGAAGTACTCGTGTCCATAGCGATGCTATCGTCATTACTTTCTTTTATTCCATCTATAGGTGGATTAACAGTTTGTCCATCTGATTCGGCATCTATATGTGCTTTCATAGATGCCGCCGTCATTTTTGCAAGTAGCAAAGCCTTTAAACCATTTTCAGCTGCATTTTGGTGAGCAAGCGGTTTAGATAATCCTTGTCCAACGTAAGTTTTACCATCAAGCTATAAGTGAATGTTAATAAAGTAATTTGAAGATAAGATCTGGTATAGCATATTACATATTAAATAACACATGTACATATATTGTAAGAATTGTAAAATTTTAATTAAAGCCATAAAATAATTACTTCAGCATTAACGAGATAGAGTGAGTTTGACATGGGTCCCTGTGTTTCCGGGAATGTAAATTGGACTCCAGCTTTCTACTCATTTAATACCATGATTGCATTTTTCGGTTGTAAAGTTTTCCGCAGACGTTGGTTCATACGAAGGCGCTTTAATCTTTTATTTACTTTAACTACAAAAATAGTTACATTAGTGTAATGTACATATAACACAATATGAATTAGAATTTATTTTACACGTCAGTAAAGAAATTCACATTGATTACAGGAGAGTCTATCCTCAACAATATGTAATTGAGCCAAGAATATGCTCCTGAATCTTCAAATTTGCGCAGTGAAATGTCATAATAAAAAGAAAAGGATTCATAAGACTTGTAACTTGTTATCGTAAGAACTAACTTACGAGTAATCTGCAATTCTATGCGTACCGGATATATTCAACCAGTGACCATACGCCATACGGGGCATGCGCATAGATTTTCAGATTACTTGTAAATTAGTTCTTATTGTTAGTCTTACGATTTTGCAGCGTCAATCTCATATTATACAAATAATATACTGCTACAATTCTCTTTTTTTTAATTACAAATTCTTTGATTTATTTATGTGTACTTATGCTTTGCAAGATCTTTTTAACATTATAATAATGTCGAAAAGGTGATCAAAATACAGAATTAAAACTGGCTGTACTTAATTGCATTAGAACATTATAATAGGGCATGTCTTTGTTATATAACTTAATATTATTCAGATTGTTCTAAATATTAAAATTAAAATCTTAAAGAGATTACAGGGATGCACACTAAAATAGTACGTTTCTATAATCTCTCTTTAATTTAGAAGTACTTACATCCAGGTATCTTTCTTCGCTGCTTTGGTTGGACATCTTGCAAATCAACATCTATGTTTTTGTTCTTTTCATCCATAATATCAGAATTATTATTAACGGAGCTTGGAGAAGATGCTGCAGGAGGCATACAAGATTGAGGAGTCACAGGTGGAGTTTGTGCAACGGCCGTAGCCGGCTGTGCAATTGGTGTACTCTGTTTCAAGATCAGCTTCAATCGCTGCGGATTTGAAGTCTGTTGCTGCGACTGTTGTTGCAGTTGCTGTTGCTGCTGCTGCTGCACTTGTTGCTGTTGTAATTGCAACTTTGGCTGCTGCTGTAATTGTTGTTGGGGCTTTTGCTAAAGCTGTTTCAGCTGCGTAAGTGCTACAGTCGGTACAGGTCGTGCCAACGCGGCTGCTGGCATTTGCGCTGGCGGCGGCTGCTGCTGCTGTTGCTGCTGTGATTTGAATCCTTGTGAGTTTTGTACGTTGTCTTGTTTATAATTGCTTTGTTGAATGGGCGTGGATTGCGATGCTTGGTAACTTCCTTGTGTATTATACTGTAAAACATAGGGTGGGTCGCCGCTACACAAGGAACCTCTACGGTTGTGCTACCCCACCAAGGTCTAGTATCGTATGTTAGAATAATTATACGCTACCCCCATAGCTCATACCAACCATGTTACCTTTACTGTGGCCAGCGTCTCTTTACTCATGTAAATTAGGCCGACGTTGTCGCCATCGACGCGACGCGAACCCGGGAACTCTTATAACGCGCGGCAGAAAAGAGGAAAAAAATCTCACCGTTGTTGTAGCTCTGGTTCTGTTCTTTGTTATTGGCTCCCAGCTCCTTGAAATAGAGCTGATACGGCTCTGGTTCTGTTGCCTGCTTCGCGTGTACATGTTGGATGCGATAAGCGCCTAATGGCTCCTGCCCACTAGACGCGGCAGCGCTTGCGAACGTGCTAGAACCTGTTACCGCCTGCGGCGCCACTACGGTCGCTGCCTCGGCGCGGGACGGTCGCTCCGTGCTCGCGGCGTCTTCCAAGCGCGAGTTTCGCGTAGATACAGTTTCGAGGGTGACGAATCGTCACGGACGAACTGTGTTAACGCGTGAGTAAGTGCGTAGGGTAGAAATAATCGCGTTTACGAGGTACACGGCGCGACTTTACGTATCAGTTGCCGCGCTCTCGGTACGTTGTCACGTGACGTCACGCGCCCGCTCGTCGCGCCACTCCCGGCTACCCTTGCGTCGCCATAACGGTTGTTACTTGGACGCGGATCGGACGCTCCGTGCTTTCGGCATTTTCCAGGCGCGACTTTCGCGTCGAGACGATATCGAGGGTGACGAATCGTCGCGGACGAGCTGTGTTAACGCGTGAGTAACTGCGTGGTGTAGAAATAATCACGTTTGCGACGCGTGACTTCATGTAGCAGTTGCGTCGCGAAAGACCGAAGCTCGCGCGCGCGTTCCGCGTTATGGCTCCTGCCCACTGGACGCGGTAACGTTGCCGCGTCCAGTGGGCAAGAGCCATTACTTTTCCTACGCGATACGCGCTGCGTTTCGCGATTTACCGCCAATACTGAGGAATCTATAGTTCACGTCGCGTATTAGCGTATTATTCGAACCGTCGTCGCGTTTGCTGCGTACGCTTCTCGTGCTTTCGCGATCGTCAAACGTCCATTGCCGCGCTCTCTGTACGAAGCGTGACGTCACGTGACGTCACGCGCCCGCTCGTCGCGCCACTCCCGGCTACCCTTGCGGCGCCATAACGGTTGGTACTTCGACGCGGATCGGACGCTCCGTGCTTTCGGCGTTTTCCAGGCGCGACTTTCGCGTCGAGACGATATCGAGGGTGACGAATCGTCGCGGACGAGCCGTGTTAACGCGTGAGTAACTGCGTGGTGTGGAAATAATCGTTTGCGAGGCGTGACTTCACGTACCAGTTGCGTCGCGAAAGACCGAAGCTCGCGCGCGCGTTCCGCGTTACTTTTCCTGCGCGATACGCGCTGCGTTTCGCGATTTACCGCCAATACTGAGGAATCTATAGTTCACGTCGCGTATTAGCGTATTATTCGAACCGTCGTCGCGTTTGCTGCGTACGCTTCTCGTGCTTTCGCGATCGTCAAATGTCCGTTGCCGCGCTCTCGGTACGAAGT